GGACGGACCGCTCCGTTAGTTGTAGCGATTGTTTAAGATCCCCGATGTACACGAGAGTACTATGTACGTGTGTGAAAAAGGGTTGGAGGAATGAAACACTGCTGGGGTGGGTCAACCCGAATACAGTTTATAAAAGGCGTTTGAAAAAATACAATCAAATCATCTCTATATTTGTAACTAAATCTGTGTCGCTTTACGTAAAACAGCAACGGCTAAATCATGAGACATTTGCAGTTTTGATACAAATAAACTTTTATATTTCGATTTCTATTCGGAGACAATATTCCCCATTATGTAATTTTCTTGTGAGATACAAATACGTATTTTATTGTGTATTATTTGGTAAACTAGTAATCGTGCAAAATAATCAGGAACCGCTTGAATACTATAAAAAATAGCACCTCCATACCTGAGGCACGTGTCAACGTCGTAGCTGTTGGTTTGTGTACTGGACACGTCGATTAATACCGATAGAAACCAGTATGTACCCTTTATGGAATACAATATAGCAGATATAAACTATTTCAAAATAAGTACAAGCTATATAGGAAGAGTACATGCAATGACTTGTTTATAAACCTTTCCGGGACTTACCACATAACTGCTAATCAGGGACGGGATCACCATTCCAGATTTCCAACTTTGTGGATACATTTGGACTGAATCACGTCAAGTTACGTCAAGTTAAACAACCAAAAAAGGCTCTGCTAATATTCCTATGGTTCATATTATTCCCTAGTTATCGATGTCAAATTCGAATTATACCTCGATATTCTCTATCTCTTTTCTATACCTCAGCGGATTGAAACATCGTTATTATATATAATACTTCTAGAAATGTATAAGCTGTAGTATATCGATTCATAAAGAAAGCTCAATTGCTGTATTAATGTACCATTACTTCCTTTCCCACCTATACCATCCTATATCATCTATACTTCCTATATCAACTATACCCTCTTACAGTAACTATACGTCCTATACCACCTATACCCTTCTTCATCATCTATACTTCCTAAACCACCTATACCTTCTTACGTCGTCATCTATACTTCCTATACCACCTATACCCTCCTACGTAATCTATACTTCCTAAACCACCTATAACTTCCTATATCACCTTTCCCATCCTACATCATCTTTACTTCATATACCACATCATCTATACCCTCTTAAACCACCTATATCATCCTACGTCACCTTTACTTTCGAT